TAGGTTTAACCTACCTGAAGTTTATAAATACCTACTTGAGTGTTCCAATTGTTATTATTCTGATGTAACATGCTATAACAGGTTTGTCATTACTGCAAGAGATGCGAAGTGTTGCCACATATCATGTTTTGAGTGCTGCTTCAGTCCCAGCACTTGTCATAGTGTTACCAATTATGCTGCATGACTGGCCAACCAACAAAAGACGGTGTCGCATTGGCTAGTTGAAAGAGCATTGCATGATTTGAAAAATGTCAGAAATATCTGGATGGGTTGTATATTCAGTGCAGGAAGACGAGAAATAGAATACGAACGAGATGATCAACTGTGCACATGCAGACTGTCGTTGAATGGCCTTATTAACTGCCAAGGGGAGTAGACAGAACCAGGCGTGGACAGATAAGATCCAGATCTAGATTTGCAGTATTATTGTCGTATTTGATCTGAATCTCTTGTGGAGGAATCGGCTACTTATAAATCTGTTCTGGAATGGAATGTTGAATGTTGCTGAAAGACAAGTCTAAATGGCATTGTTCTAAAGAAGGCTCATTAGCCTCACATAGAGGCTTTCCACATGACATGCTCGAAAGGCACAAATATATTGTTTCTGTCCTTAGTGGTGAACTGTATTTCGTTGTTTTTAATCACTCTTGCAGGCTCCAGCACACACAATGGAACCATAGTTCGATTTAGAACGGATCGGCAGAACTGCAACAGTTTAAAGACAGTATGAAGTGAAACAGGGTTGTGGATCACACCCTCCTTATGACTAATAGAAATTTGAACTTTGGAATTTGAAGTTGTCGGTTCCTTTCAGATGTCTCCTGGAGACAAATTGCTAACATCATATAATCGTGTATGAATAAGTGTAATTCGTTACAATTAGTCCTGAGACCTCTGCAACGTTGGAAACGTTCATTGTGCATGTGAAGATCTGTTCTCCCATTTGGGGGCGACTTACTTCTGTCGCGGCCTTTCAGCTGAGGAGAGGTATCTCCTAGCATTTGAAACTGATAATGCATCTGTATAGGTGCAGGGTCACCGTGTCTTACCCCAGTTTTTTAAGAATCTTTTTGCTTTCAAGAGGGTTCTGCAGCTAGTTTTGATGGTAATGATATCAATCACTCACTGGATTGTCTGTCTGGTCCAGAGTCGATTATTTACATCATACATATGTATATTTCCACTTCATTGTTACAGTATCTGCTTAATATTCTTGTTTTGAAGATTTGATTGTGCAAACGTTATTAGATATGTATTTGAATGTGAAACATTTGACGTTTGTGATTCCCTGATCTTGTAATCGATCGCCCTTTTCAGTTTCTGTCATATCAGGTTGAATGAGTATGGTTTTACACCGCATTTAGTCATATTCCCACTGACGAGATTTTGCTTTAACCCTTTACCGCCCCTGTCATATCCGAGACACAAGGTTCCCTGACTCTGACGGTGCCTTAGCTTGAATATTTGAGTGGTAAAATTAGAACGGGAGTAGGAAGCAACTGTTTGACAACTATTTATATTTAATTCTTTTTCACTGCATTTTTGTACATTCTATCATCAATTACTCTGATCGAATTGAGTAACTTCCTTAACATCTCCTGAGTAAAATGCCTCAAATGGGTTTAGCTTTAATAGAGAACCATCAGTATCTGTACAAATCGAGACCCAAATGTTTAAAGCATTCTTCAGGACAACATTCACGTCATCTGAGGAATCATCTGACATTGCTTATAGTCTTCTTTGTGTTGTTGTGCCATGGCTATTGTGTTTATGATTCAGCATCGCAGCTGCGAACCCACCACAGAATCTCATATAGACATGCCCCTTGTGCCACAAGTTTCTTGGCATACGACTCTAGGAAGATTACTTACTTGTTTGAATATATTGTTTAGACAAGACGCCTGATGGAATATGTTTCTGTTGTGCAGTGTGCAGTTGTGCAGTGCAATATATATGCATAGTGCTTGACATGGCCAACTGACTGATAGTGTCCACCCTGTCACCCTTCTTATTGATGTAAGGGTCGAAGAGGTGTATTGGGCAAAGGAATGCTAATCCTGGAACCAGTGCACTCCTGTCCTTCACCAACACAGGAGGAGCTACCCAAATTGGTTGCCCAGCTTGGTCGATCGTTCGACCAATAAATGGGTGCCGAGGTCACAAATTCTACCCGGGTCCACGCAGGGGAAGAGCAAACAGCGTTACCCTGCACTCAGTTGCCCTCTATGAACGCTTAAACGTGTCTATATTCTCACCTCGCCAAATTCTCTACCTAAACAAATCAGAAACTGTTTACACGGTGTGATAAACACGAGCATGCTTTTGATAGAGCTTAGGGTAGCCAGAGTGTAGCTGTATTACAATATTGTTTTCGATATCAGCGCCACAAAAAAACGTCTGTTTGAACCCGTTCTACATCACCGTTCCCAAAGAATGATAATCAGGTAATCACCAACTGATTATCCAAGTATATGCATTCACCTGGATGAAACTAGTTCATTAATGTTCCCACGTTACATTATCAAACGCATTGTTCATTTCGTAACCATGGCAACAGCATCCTCATGAAGAAGACATTTCGCAAACTACCTGCCTTGATGTCAGGCAAAATATCAGTTGATTAGGGAGTTTACGTGCTACTACGATCAAAGCCTGCTACTGAGAGGAGGCCATGCGTGAGATCAGGCATTAGATCTTCCTTTGGCTGCAGCTATTTTGTGTGTGCCCATTCCGGTTTACGTTAATGACGTGTTCGAGCTACGCGGACATTTAATCACAATAAATATAAATGATGACTCTAATTTCCTCAGATTAGTGACATTTCGGGCCTAGGAAAGTGCTAAATCGTCTGTTCTTTGACACTTGCCTTTACGCTGGATATCATTTTGTGGCATGCAGTGTGTAAAAAACCCACAGTTGTGTAATGTATACTTAGAAGACCGCGTTGTACTGCTGTGACCGTTGTGTTTTCACATTGTTAACGTTGTGAGCGTGTCAGTTGATTTTAACGCTGGATTGAATAGCAGATCAGTCATGTCACGGCTGTCAGTTTGATGTGGGAGGAAACATGAAGTGATGTCAGGCGTTAGCCATTTTTGATGAACCCTACTAGAATGGATATGGTGCTGCAAAAAGTTGAAACGTAAGTGCGAACTCGGATTCGAACGCACGATCTCTGGCTCCAGGGACGCCGGAGAGACGAGGTTCTGGATAGTGCACTCGGTAAATGACTGGACCATGCCCCTATTAATATACACATACTTTGTGTAACTGGAGCTTTACGATTTGATTTTTATAGGCGTATTAGGTATTATTGGTGTTAATGTTGGGTGGAAGTGGCGGAGAGACTAAACAAGTGTTATTGCTAAAAAGCATTCTTCAGGACAGCATTCACGTTTCAATTGAAGTGATGCCAGGAGTTAGCTATTTTGATGGACCTTACTAGAATGGGTATCTTCAAAAAGTAGAAACGTAAGTGCGAAGTCGGATTCGAGCCCAGGATCTCTGGCTCAAGGGGCACCGAAGGGACGAAGTTCTGGACAGGGAAATGCTATGTCATAGACGACTGGACCATGCTCCCCATTAAGATACACATACTCGATGTAATTTGAGCTTCATGATTCTATTTTACTAAGCTTACTACATATTATTAGTGTTTATGTAGGGTGGAAGTGGTGGAGAGTCTAAACAAGTGTTCTTTATAAAACTAAATATTACGTCTGGGGCAAATATGCATACAAATGAATATACATTTGCACAACCTTTTGCTGACACCATGCAAATTAATCGCACGACCAATATACAAAGGCACGTACAGTTAACATTGACATTTTCTGAATATCTTTGTAATGCCGGACTTGCAAAACATCATATGTAGATTTGTCTGGAAACTAGACAAATTATCAGTGGAGGGCATTCACGTATCAATTGGCTGTTTGGAAACCAAGTCCAAATAGCTGACACGATAAACCAGAAGGGCAAATTTCTAAATTCTCGTCTCCTTACGCGTGCCATATAAGCGTTAATCACTTAGGACTAACATTTCAAGGTGATTATATAGGACTGACTGACTGACTGAGTTTGGTTTTACGCCGCTTTTAGCAATATTCCAGCAACATCACGGCGGGGGACACCAGAAATGGGCTTCACACATTGTACCAATGTGGGGATTCGAACCCGGGTCTTCGGCGTGACGAGTTAACGCTTTAACCATTAGGCTACCCCACCGCCCCAATTATATAGGAGTATTGAATACTTGCTAAACAGAAATATAACACCCAAAACAGAAGGATCAAATTGCAGTGGAAAGTTTAGCATATGTTTGATGTGTTCATTGGAAAGATATTTAGCAATGAACATTCATCATGCTCACTGTTTGTAAATAACTTATTTCAAGATAAAAGAGTGTAAAACATCACTACAACAGTCACGACACTGTGATTACTCTTTCCACGGTATTCCCAAGGGTCGAAAAGTGTGAAAGTAGTCTAGCAACGTTGACGTCATTTGTGTCCTAACCATTCAAAAACCGCTTTCATCTAACAATACACCATCACGCTGTGCTATAAATGACATACTGCTCAAGGCGGAGTTCAGAGGAAATGGCTGATTTTAAAATTTTAAAACAAGTCATATCAAACAAACATCTTCGCCACCGTCGTCATCGTCGCTGGCGTTGTTGTTTATGTTATTATTATTACTGTTCCAGTTTTTGTTCAGCGACACATGCTTGTCGTAAGAGGCGACTAGGGACCAGGTGGTCAGGCTCGCTGACTTGGTTGACACATGACATCGTATTCCTTTGCGTACATGTAGATCATGCGCATGATGTCAATCACTGGATTGTCTGGTCCAAATTCGATTATTTACAGACAGCAGTCATATAGCTGGTATATTGCTGAGTGTGACGTTAAACATCAAACAACCATACACAATGTGACTTATTTTCCAAGATAACAGAGCAGATAAGCCACTCCGTCTGTCACACACCAGGTGTGGTTGTGAACACAGACCTGTGATGTCAAAGGTTGTGTACCAGCTCCGATAAGGGTTGTATATTCGTGTACTTCAGAATACATATATACCTCGCAATGCTCAACATAACAGTTGTGCTTGGAGTTCTGACACTATTGTCTGTTGCCAAGGTAACATCACTTCAGTTACAAGCTTTTTTACATGCTTTTTAAAAGAGTGTTTGTTTTCCCATGTATGTTAGTGTTAGGACCAGGAATACATATTTCACGTTATTGTCAGAAGATTTAGAGACGTGAAACCCGAGAATCATTGTCAGTGTTTGATCCACTATCTCTACTTTATGGGTTTGAGAAATTGTATCTCGTTTTTTTTCTTGGCAGGATACTAGCGCAATTGCGTACAAAGGATTGATTGATTGATGATTTGTTGTTTAACGCCGCACTCAGCAATATTCCAGCTATATGGCGGCATTCTGAAAAATACTCCAGTCTGGACCAGAGCATCCAGTGATCAACAACATGAGCATCGTTGTACGCAATTTGGATACGATGACATGTGTCAACCAAGTCAGCGAGCCTGACCACCCGATCCCGTTAGTTAGAACAAAAACATCCTAAAATGGACATGATACCTTCCAGTAAGTCTACTAATTACTGTAGAAGCTAAAAATCTTATTTTATCTTATGATGTTTCAGAAATAAGTGTGCTACATCCATTTGCCGAAAGCACTACAGATAAATTCTTGCCGTGATAGGTCGATATGCTTTGCCTGAGTGAATGAACTTTACGAAACGGAAGTTCAGTAATATGAGAGCAAGTAATATTCACGTGGAAGATATTTCAGTGATAATAACCTGAATGTGAGGTGATGACAAATCAAAGATCATTATCGGGCCGATCTGGGATTCGAACTCACGCAAGCGGATCCTCGAACACACAGAGGTGCAACTCGAGATGCAGCGCCTCCCTTCATGTGGTACGATAGAACGTTCGAATCCCACGTTCTCGTTTCGGTGCCATATCCCTTCTCATGAGTGAATGATTTAAAAGTTGACGTTAATGTCGCATCATCCATACTTCAGACATATAGCAACATGTTTCCTTTAGAGGCAAACGAGTTTTGCAAAACATCTTCCTTCCTCCCCATCATGATAACCCGCCGCGACGTAAATGAAATGACGTTAAGCTTGGCTCATTTATCAGAATCCAAACGACTTAATGGTTTTCTAGCATCATCATATTCACTTTCTCTTCTAACAGACAGACGACTGGAAACCAACGTCATGGGAACATTGCCGGACAAACGCTGACTGTAACAACACCGCCCTGTGCTGCTCCATCACTCCAGCACTGGGACGACGTCGCCAACTGTTCCCTCTTGAGGTCAACTACTGTTTGCCGTATAAAGCCATCGACGCCCCCTGGTGTTCGCTGAGACTTCAGTACTCTGATGCTGCCCTAAACTATCATGGCTTGTGTCCTTGTGGACCAGGACTAAAGTGTTCTCCTTCTGATGACCTTGACCCCAAATATTACCCAAGGGACCGTTACGGCAAATGTGTGTCAGTATAATCTACGAACAGATTTATCTGAAACATTCCGGAACCATTTGTAATGCCACTGGAGAGAAATACAATCCTGTTGGGGAACAGTTGTAAGTTTTATATTAGCAGGGTCAGGTTGAAGAAAGCTACTTCGGACCATAATCACACAAATACGAGCGAGGTCACACATTTATGGCACAGTTTAGTACAATTGTTTCCAAATCGGGCCAATATTGTTTTAATACTTACATATCTAATGATTTTCAAAATCATTAACAGTTCTTCTCAGTTCGAGCTACCAACCAACTATTAAACTTTCAAACTATGTAAACCGAAAACAAACGCATTGGAAGGAATCCATACTGAAACTGGATTTACTAGTTTCACTAGTTCAGGTGCCTGTCACCGTAGACATCATAATGTGGCGGCAGCCGTAACCATTACGCAGATGAAAGCATAATTTTGATGAGCCTTAAGAAATTTAGTTCTCAAAATCGTCTGCCATGTTGTAATAACGATTGGTTTACTGTTCAATAATGCCTTGTCCCCTACTCAATGGCTGCCTGAGTTACAGGGTAGATTTCGCAAAACGGCGAATGGACGCATATGAACGACAGTGAGGTAAACCCAAATCAATATTTTTCAGGGACTTTCGCTGACCAGTAAAATCCTCGTTCGATGAGCAGGACTCGTTCTTTTCAAGTGTCATCTAGGATTGGTCGTTGTCATGCCTTACTGTCTGTCCTGTAACGTTAACATGAAAGTCTCTTCTGTGTTGCGTTTCCCTTCAAATGGAATCGTGTCTCTTTAGCTAAGGAGGCTCTTCCGACACTAGCTCTTGACATCCTGTCTGAAAATACTTCTTTTCGCCATTATGATGATATTATACGCCCGCTTCAAAGAACAGTCGAATTGTGGATGGTTGGTTGGTTTGTTGTTAAACGCCACACTAAGCAATATTCCAACTATATGGCGGCGGTTTGTAAATAATCGAATCTGGACCAGACAATCCAGTGATTAACAGCATGAGTCGGAATTGTGTCTGGGCATACATTACCCTTATTATTGACTCGAGTTGTCTTACCGTCCATTCGTTCACTGCACCCTGTCTGTGTTGACCGACCGCGTCATACCAAAAGACGTTAAAATATGGTACTTGTTGGTCCCCTGCCTGGCGCTCGGCATTCATGGGTACAACAAGGACTGGTCGGCTCGGAGTCAGTATAATGTGTCTGAGTGGGGTATTCATGCTTCACTGCGGCATGGTATCTCAGTGGGCTAGGTCTGGGCTAGTACAAGCAGCCGCACATACACATACACACGCATGCACGTCGTAATATGAGCGAAATATTCTCCAGCATGACGTTAAACCCAATTTCACATCACCTAACTTTGAATACTACTTTTATAAAGTTCAATGGTTTGTTGTTTAACGACACACTCCGCAATATTCCAGCTGTGTGGCGGCGGTCTGTCGAGTTTGGACCAGACAATGCAGTGCTTAATATATCATGAGCATCGATCTACGCAATCGGGATACGATCACTTGACTCAACCACGCCAGTGAGCCTGATCCCGTTAGTCGACCGGATCCCGTTAGTCTCCTCTTACGACAAGCATGGGTTACCGAAGACCAATGCTAACCAGGACCTTCACGTGTACTATTTATAGTGTACGTGTTTGTGTTGACAAATATAAGCGACACGGCTTGATAATGGAGATGGTAACAATATGGCCGTTGGGTAACCAACCAGTTCATTCGTTCGCTGGCCATGCAGCAAACCATGCTGGTGGATTTCTACACTCTGTGGAGCCAGCTGTTGACTTTAAAGATGTCCATGACTTACGTAGCGTTAAACCCACTTTCACGCCCTGAAATATATGACTAAATGACTTCAAAGACAAATGGGCAAAATACATGGGCAAATCCCTTAAATCATTTCTGCTACTGACACGAATAAAAGAGCAGCGTTTTGCAGTGAAACACATAACAATGTCGGCAGATTATATACAGACGTTTATTTCACAGTTTAGCACTAGAATGCATCGTAAATGGTTTGGCTGACATTTTATACTAGTGTGGACCATTCCATGTCGTATGATGTCAGAAATGAATAATCTTCTATTCGTTGAAGGTTCTTAGTCATGGACTGTGTAAAGCATACACATGTACTAAATACGATGTTGTAGGACTATGGGCACAGTTAACTAGTTAAATATAGACATAAGAATGTGTGAAATATATTAATTTGATAATTTGTAATACAATAAATAATCAACATCAGATAAATTAATAGACATCTCATTATTAAGATACAAGAATATTATTATTAGTTTGGGCGATCGAATCCTTCTTGATACAATCCCCAGTAAACAATACATGCTGGAATGGTTTGCAATTGGTATAAATTTGTGCCCCTTTCTTTTCTGTCATGAATAAATCAATGATATATTCCTGTTTATTACAAGAGTTAACCTGTCATGCCACATGTGTTATCACAGTGATATAAAAGAATTGGATGTCCTTTTTAGCAACATATGGCAATTACACAATGTGGCGGTCAGAACTGATAACGTATGTATAATCCCGATTACTTAATGCTTGGTTTAAAAGATGTTCGGTAATTGATGAGCCATATAAAACAGCATTTGGTCCCAAATGTTTTGAAGGTCTGTTCCTAGTACAGATTTCTGGACTCTAATCTAGCACCCAATTCTATTCATATATTTTCCATGCAGATGCGTCGTATTAAATTTGTCCTGAAAGACAATCAAAATTAAATCGAAACTCCACCCAACTTCACCGAAAACACGTTAGAACAATTATTTCATTTCTTTATAATTATAACTACCAGTTTTCATGAGTGGTTGTTAGAAATGTTACAAGAACGCTAACGAAGGGTGATATTTGCATTGCCGATCCCGTCCACACACATCTTCAACTGTATTAACTTACTTCTGACGTCAGTGACACGTAATTATAAGGGGGTAGCAGAAAGACATAAACGGATGGCGTAGTTCTGGCAGCATCACACAATGCGAACCCCCATAAATCTATCATCAGCAAAGTCATGTTTGTTGTTTCTGCTATAAAGCCTGTCTCTGAATTCTTGTGCTCTTGGCCAAACCCGGCGGTTGTGACTCTCGCTCCTGTTCAACCTGTTGCCACTGTGCCTGACTGCGAGTGTCCCATGTCTATATTTATGTAGGTTTTGCATAGTCTTCAAATTCTGCTCAAAGATTGTCTGTAACAGCGGTACACTGGTGTGGGAGGGGTTACGCAGTCTGCGTATTGTCTGATCACGCATATGATGCAAAGTCTCATAATAATCTTGATCAGGAAGAGAAAGCTCATCTCCAGTAATGTTCGTTTCGCTAAACGTCGACGTAAACGCATCTTCGTTGTCGTCGTCGTCGCCGTAGTCAGGGTCAGGTTCAAGATCCGGCTCCAGGGTCTGCAGCCGTCGTGTTTCGTTGATCACAAACCTTGCGAAGTCTTCTTCCGTGTGAGTCTTCTTCAGCCAATCAATTCTCGTACTTGACATGAGATGGAGAAACGTGCCCCACCTGTGTATGAACATACTAGAGAACTGGAGGGCGAGGGCGATGGCAAACACTGACAGGAAGATTAGGGACAGAGGTTCATATTTGCTGATGATGTAGAACGTCTTCAACTGTGCCTCCATGGTCTGCAGCTGCAGGGTGATGATGGTCCAGAGAAAGTTCAGCATCAGGTAGATGAAGACAACATTGTTCCTCAAGGACAACAAGTCATCTTTGATCTTCTGTTTGTGGGATTTGTCCTCGTCTAAGGGTTGGAGATATTTCTTTATGATGTATCTCCAAAATTCAGTTTCATCGTCGTTTATATGATCAACACCACCATTACCAAGCTGCTCACATTCCAGCCAATACGGGTTGTCCGGATCGGGTTCCCAGCCGGAAGGACGTTTTGGAATGTTTGTAGCCCTTGCACTATTTTGTCTGTCAGATGGCTGTTTATCCGGGTTCTTGTCCTCTTGTTTTTCTTCATCTTTGTTGGCATTTTCCATTTCGTTCTTAAGACCCATTAAACCTTTGATGACGTCTCTCAGCTCCTGAACCAAGGTCATGAGTCCGAGGATGCTGAAGAAGCTCCTACTCTTTTTCTTCTGTTTCTCTTCTTCTGCCTTGGCTGCAATTTCAGCCTCCTCCGGAGTCAGCTTCTTCGGAACTTCCCGAGTTCCCCATGAGACGTTGTTCAGGTTGCACAGGTAGTACACTGTCAGAAGAATGAAGGTTGAGGGAACCACCATGAAGTACAGAGCGCCGTACACCAGACAGAAGAACTCTTGCGGATGAAGCAAACCGGCAACGATAAAGATGGCAGTTAATCCACTGAGAAACACAACATTAGGACTGTTAAAGTTCTCCGTAGCAATACTGATGATAGTTCCAACTGTTGCTATCATCATGACGACTGTGTATATAGCTGTGAGGACTGCAGCAGAACCAATCTGAACATTACTCTTTTGTGTCATACAGATGAAGATGTAAATTGCTACAGGAGCCATGGACAGAAGATAGGACCACCAGACCCCGATACCAAGCACTGAGTGGTAGGACCCAGTGATCATCAGGATGACAGTGGAGGGGGCCAGGATGGTCGAGGCCATCAGGATGAACTGGTACAGGATGTAAGGTCGGCTGATGTTGTCATTGAGTCTCACTGTGTCCTTCCAGGAAGAGAGCAGGTCCATCATGTTGGCCAAAGTGGAAGGAGACCATCGTCTGCGCTGGTTGAAAAACTCGTTGAACGTTTCCGGGGCAAAGGTCAAGGCGTCCGCGCCTGCGCAGTAATCGATACGGTGACCTTGTTGGAGAAGGAGGGTACAGAGCCATCGGTCTTCACCTGTGATGATAATATGTTGTATTAGTTTATCTTGAACTTTAAATCTTCCTTAACAGCTTTTGAAGTGAACGAATAGCCGCTTTATTATTGTTCTTTATTATATAAATATCATCTTCATGCCTAGTTTCAAGTGTCACTAAAGAAGCTATTATGACATAAAAAATATTCTAATAGGGCACTATCTATATTTCCGAGTGGACAATGCCAAACTGTACGTGTGTATATATTGTTATAATCCTTTCTTTACTTGAACATCTATTCCTACCAGATGTAAATAATAAGCAAAGTAAAGAACATTAGGGCTTGCGTCGTAGGGATTGCGTTTCTCAGCCTCTTGAAATTTCAAAGTTGTTATCTGTTTCCATCAGTTCCGAAATAATACAACTGAGCAATAATAACATTGACCTAGTCTGTAGAATCTATAATGTCAATATGTCTGGTAATACCTTGTTCAAACTGTATGTAGTGTCGAGCCTCAGTGGGTTTAGTTGTGTACATCTTCATCACGTTGTCATCCATGAGTGCAGATCCACGGAAGAGACTGAAGCACCCGGGACAACACAAAACGCACCCAAACACATGTTCAGCTGCCTTCTGGAGCCAGTGACCAATAGCGTACTCGAATTGTTGATACCATACCATGGGACCTAGGGTGTAGAAAACGCATCTGGGTTAGTATACGACATATAACATTGTATGAGACTTACAGTTGACACAGACAAGCTAATTCGAATCTCATATTCCCCCGATTGGTGTTGGGTCTCACTATTGTGGGGAAAGTTCACTACCTGAGGGACGCTGCGCTAACCTCCTACCTTAAGCTCATGTGCTCATTAACTGTAATACTGTTCTGAACGCGGTTGTGCTAACAACATTCGTACATTCGAGGTTAGGTGAGAATGGATGAAACCTCGCGATGTCTATTATTATACTTATATGTTGACGTGCATGTGCGTGTGTGTGTGCGCGCGCATACTAACGTTAATACTTATACTGTTATACAATCCAGTCTACGTGAGTATCTTGTATAACTTGGATACCTCACACAGTATCCTGGTCACAGTACCTATCTGTCTGTTTCATGTCCCGGAACTATAGCACCAAGAAGGGTATAACAAGTAACATCCTTTCACTTTTGGTATGATGCGACCATTAGGTCGAACCATCGACCGTTCGCTTCCCTTTCCACTATATGCCGGAATTACATTACGGTAATTAGTGTCCATAAGTGACCATATGATCATGCTGCACTGCCTCTATGCAAGAGCAGTTGTCAAGAGTTCAGTTACAAAACTCATCAATATATAAAATCAAATAACAGTTTGTTCAATTTAAATTTTATTTAATTGAAACATTTAGTAAATAAGAAACATGTGACAAGAGATTAACTACCTGATCCGATGGGGTGAATTCGTCCGCACACTGCACCCACTTTCCTGTTTTTCTTCATCCGATCAATCAAAAGTTTGACAGCTCCGGGTCTGAAATCGACATCCCCATCAAGGGTAAGGATGTATGTGCTCTCCGCCTTCTGCAGAATCTGAAATAGACGTGGTTCCCTGTACAGTCAAACCCCGTTAAACCGGACACACCGTCCACAGTGAAATTTAAAAGTGACAGTTTTGTTTTAAATTAATCGTGGCTATAGACCCATGTTCTTTAATATATCAGATAATTAGACAACCAACCCTCGTAGTAAAGGGGTATCCGGATTCACGAATGTTTACTGTATGATGACGAGTATCAATCTGTCTGTTATAAGTTCACGTGTGCAGCGTCAGTAAAAACAGAATAATACCAGGAATATAAAGTGTTACTGTGAGTAAAAACAGTAATCAATGAGTCATAACTGGACATGTAATCCATGGGACAAAGGAAGGACGTGTCAACTCCAGTATCTTGGAATATATCTTAGTATATATTGACAGGGGACGGTCATAAATGCTGTCGATAGTGTCTCTGCGAGAATCCAAAGATGTAATAAGGAAAGAAATGATGTTTGCATTCACCCATTAACAACGATTCCATATTGGTCTTATGTTCCAGTCAGTTCCGCCTACTGGAAATTGTTGCAACAGGCAGAAAATCGAGAATGGTTTTCTAGCTGTGTTACTGACCTTCTCGTATTTATCTGGAGGCATACGCATCAGCAAGGTCTTAAGTGGGACTCCCTTTGGCTTCTTCTTCGACTTCTTCTTGTTGTTCTTCTTCCTGTTCCTCACGTGATCTTCCTCTCGCTTTCTCTCTTCCTCCATGTGTTCTTCCTCCATCTGGTTGTTGGCTCCCTTCCCCCCGAGGAGGCGAAAGCCCAGCAGGTAGTAGAGATACATGCACTGGAACAACGAGGAGTTGCAGGTGAAAGCAGATAACGATCATATATAACTGGCAAAAACTAATTTGAACTAAAATGTTTCCTAATATCAGAAGATTTAAAGAGCTTTAAACATTTTGAAAAAATAGTAAAGGTCAATCAGTTAGATGAGTCGTTTGACCACGTCTAATTTGTCATTTTGACAGATGAATAAATATTGGTTGAGGCCTTGTTAACTCGACCAGTTCTAAACCTCTTAGAAAAACATAAATAGATTTAAGTAAGCAAAGTATACACATTCAAAAGTGCTAATAATAATAACAAAGATTTAGAAAGACATCTTTAAGTAATATTTCACTCTACCAACGGAAAATTCCCAAATTGACGAGTGACTAGAGAAAGTATGCCTGGCAGTAGTCGTGACTAGAGAAAGTATGCCTGGTTGAAATCGTGACTAGAGAAAGTATGCCTGGCAGTAGTCGTGACTAGAGAAAGTATCTCTGGCAGTAGTCGTGACTTGTGAAAGTATGCCTGGCAGTAGTCGTGATTAGAGAAAGTATGCCTGGCAGTAGTCGTGACTAGAGAAAGTATGCCTGGCAGTAGTCGTGACTAGAGAAAGTATGCCTGGCAGTAGTCGTGACTAGAGAAAGAATGCCTGGCAGACTAGAGAAAGTATGCCTGGCAGTTGTCGTGACTAGAGAAAGTATGCCTGGCAGTAGTCGTGACTGACAAGAGAATGTATGCCTGGCAGTAGTCGTGACTAGAGAAAGTATGCCTGGCAGTAGTCGTGACTAGAGAAATGCCTGGCTGTAGTCGTGATGCCTGGCAGTAGTCGTGACTAGAGAAAGTATGCCTGGCAGTTGTCGTGACTAGAGAAAAGTATGCCTGGCAGTAGTCGTGACTAGAGAAAGTATGCCTGGTATATGTAGTCGTGACTAGAGAAAGTATGCCTGGCAGTATGTCGTGACTAGAGAAAGTATGCCTGGCAGTAGTCGTGACTAGAGAAAGTATGCCTGGTTGTAGTCGTGACTAGAGAAAGTATGCCTGGCAGTAGTCGTGACTAGAGAAAGTATGCCTGGTTGTAGTCGTGACTAGAGAAAGTATGCCTGGCAGTAGTCGTGACTAGAGAAAGTATGCCTGGTTGTAGTCGTGACTAGCCTGAAAGTAGTCGTGACTGAGAAAGTATGCCTGGTTGTAGTCGTGACTAGAGAAAGTATGCCTGGCAGTAGTCGTGACTAGAGAAAGTATGCCTGGCAGTAGTCGTGACTTGACTTGAGAAGTATGCCTGGTTGTAGACGTGACTAGAGAAAGTATGCCTGGCAGTAGTCGTGACTAGAGAAAGTATCTCTGGCAGTAGTCGTGACTTGTGAAAGTATGCCTGGCAGTAGTCGTGACTAGAGAAAGTATGCCTGGTTGTAGTCGTGACTAGAGAAAGTATGCCTGGCAGTAGTCGTGACTAGAGAAAGTATGCCTGGCAGTAGTCGTGACTAGAGAAAGTATGCCTGGTTGTAGTCGTGACTAGAGAAAGTATGCCTGGCAGTAGTCGTGACTAGAGAATGTATGCCTGGTAGTAGTTGTGACTAGAGAAAGTATGCCTGGTTGTAGTCGTGACTAGAGAAAGTATGCCAGGCAGTAGTCGTGACTTGAGAAAGTATGCCTGGTTGTAGACGTGACTAGAGAAAGTATGCCTGGCAGTAGTCGTGACTAGAGAAAGTATGCCTGGTTGTAGTCGTGACAAGAGAATGTATGCCTGGCAGTAGTCGTGACTAGAGAAAGTATGCCTGGCAGTAGATCTGAATGGCACCAAATCCTGTGCCGGCATTAATAATAAAAGAACAGGAGAATCTGCTGGGTGATAACTCTGGTATAGAAATGAGTGACATACATATAGTGTTTTGTGCATGTGCATTTCAAGACACACAATGTGACCAGTATGTCCTACCTGTGACCATCTCTTCCTGTGCCTGATCTTGTTCTTGTCCTTGCAGTGGACAATCAGCTTGGTCTGTCCAGGCATTGTCCAGACAAGACGCCCGCCATAGGGAGTGCTGACCTTCTCTGGGGACGGAATGATGATAGGACCCTTCACTACAGACCTGGAACAAAAGGAAATATAGGTGATGTGCATTGCCACTGTCAGATTGCATAGGTAATTAGTGCTACAAACACACAACAGGCACGCTGTTCCTCCGACCACCTGCTCCTGCCCACCTTCCCGTCCACCTGCTCCTGCCCAACGTCCACCTGCTGTTGCCCAACGTCCACCTGCTCCTGCCCATCTTCCACCTGCTCCTGCCCATTTCGCCCTATCCACCTGCTACTGCCCAACGTCATCCTGTTCCTGCCCAACGTCATCCTGTTCCTGCCCAACGTCAACGTCATCCTGTTCCTGCCCAACGTCCACCTGCTCCTGCCCATCTTCCCCTATCCACCTGCTCCTGCCCATCTTCCCGTCCACTTGCTCCTGCCCATCTTCCCCTATCCACCTGCTCCTGCCCAACGTCCACCTGCTCCTGTCCATCTTCCCCTATCCACCTGCTCCTGTCCACCTCCCAGTCCACTTGCTCCTGCCCATCTTCCCCTATCCGTCTGCCCCTACCCAACGTCCACAAGCTCCTGCCCAACCTCCCCCGTCCAGCTGCTCCTGCCTCTGCCCCAGCAATATGCCAACTCAGTCTCCTACTCACCTCGCAGCATCTTCCATGACCTCCATGAGCTGACGTACGAAACTGTTGGGCACAAATCTGTCCTTCTCCTCGTCCAGCTCGAAGGAATCATCAAAGATGACGTGAACTGCAACACACAACATACGTTCATCTTTCCGAGCACAATGTGCTACCACTCATCAATCTGGACCTGGCGACGTTGGTAGATCATACAGTGTAATATTTATTGTGTATTCTAAATTCAAGCCCCTACCCCTCAGTAGTAATATTTTACAGGCAAACCTGCTTTAAGGAGTCTGCTGAATAGCCCTCCACATCTATAAGACATATCTGCTAGGAGTAGACTCGACAATACAATTCCAACCAAAGAGGGCGTGTTTATGAATCATTATCAAATAGTGATGACACCAGGTGTTTGCGAAATAGTGAGCGTATCCTGCCCCACGGGTGGCACTCGTCATAAACATATACAAAGGCTTATAATAAACGGGAACGTATGGTAGAATTTAAATTGGGGAATTTCCTCTCCGTATGTCTACCAAAAAACGTTTTTAAAATATTGTGGTATACCGCATTTTTAAATATGTGTAAAAAAGGGAAGTACCATTGCAGTCCATGGTTTAACTAATACACTTACAAACCATCCTTACGTTTAGTGCATTTAAAGCGCGGTCATTAAACATTTTTATCAAGTTGTATTTTTGTGTCTTCATCTGATGTCAAGGTTTGCCACAAGTCACGTCTTTCATGGTATATACACAGCATTGATGAAACATTACATAAAGGGACCGAAAAAAGTGGTGACGCGGTGCCTTATTGATCAGCTCTGCAAAATAAAGTCGTGTAAAAGAAATGTATTCTTTGAATATTATTATATTTGTGCAAATGAGAGGTAATTGGACAAGAATGTGTTGAAAATATATCATCTCGCCATGACAATGTGATGCGCACAAAACAGCTTTTACATTTAGTTTGACATCGTGTGATCTGCGAAATGACACCTTCCTTCGTGGTGACATTATGGTTGACAGACACGAAACCTTGGACAAGGGCACCTTCTGAGTCATGTTCGGGAAACCTTTCAATCAATCACAGGAAACAAATGCTCAACTGACAGCTATATGCATCAATGTGCGAGCACACAGACATAAATACCAGATGTGTTGGACAGTCATAACAAAGGTTTTTTGTCTTTTCTTATAAAACCGTACACTTAATGAGAACAAGAAACACTATCTGTCATACAAAATTATTTGATATTGTATTCTTTCCAGAGGACAATGAGTTTGTGGTTTTTTTTGCTTTAGATAAAATACCCTTATTTATATAATTTGCTTTGGAACACAATTATTCAAAATAGTTAATGATGTTTAACGTTGTCTCTTCCATGTGTAAAACAATAAGGGTATGGTTATACGGCAGTTCAATAGAGTATACCTAGACTCTGCACGCTATGAGGCTCTTAAAAACATGATAGGTCATCAAATATAACTGTTTGCATCCATATTAAATATGAATGAGTGTAGTAATCACCCAACACGAAACAACACAAGCTCTGTGGTGATCATTAACATTAGCCTGAAACCGGGCCAATTCGACTTGGTAAACAACTTTGTGAACGATTAAAGCTATATGTAAAATCATCAAAGCTGTTTTCAAACTGATCAGATAACCTAGACTAAGACAGAGTGTTGAAACGCAGGTTAATGCATAAATTCTGTTGCGGCAATTATTCTACTATCAAGCCTGTAGGGTTTGCTCGTCCAGACGTAGGTACGGGTTCGATCAATCATTGAACATAGCAGACCAGTTCTTGCTCAGTGGTTGTTTACTTGACGCTGTAGATGAACATCCCAGAGAGCAGTCACCACTAAGACAACTTCGTGAGTGACAAATCGTGAGAGACGTGCAAAAAGATGTTTCCCCAAACAGAACAGGTTATACATTTTCTAAGCTGACGCCAGGTAACTACGTGTGGCATGATCTGGTTATGCACACGGAACTATGTGTAATTATATGACATCACTACTCGGTGCTGTTCGGGTTAGCGGAACTAGCTGAGTGGGACCGAGTGACACCGAGTGACATTCTACTCACTCTCAAGGTCGAAGTAGTCCGGGTCTCTGATGTGGAACTGTTGCTGGGCGAGCCTGCTGGCACAGTGCATGTAGTCAAGTCTGGAACCCATACAGGAACATAAGTGTCAGCTTTAACATAAATACCCACTTATGACAGGACGATGTTTAAACTGATATTGGCATTATTTGATCATCTAGACAGGTAACTTGTGCAATACGATGTGGAATTTGGTTTGTGTCAGAAATGCAAGGGGGTGAAGTAGATTTATGATCAAAGCCTCACATTATACATTACGGACCCGGATTCGATACCCCATATGAATACAATGTGTGAACTCAGTTTCTGGTGTCCCCCGCAGTGACAGTGCTAAAAGCGGCGTAAAACCATATTCACTCATTCAAGACATACTTGAGCTTAATACTTCACCTACCGAAATAAGGATTTTAGTAGCTGTGTCATCTCCTGTCGCGTTTCATGCCACATCGTTGCACACACATACACCATTGGAGTAACGTAGTCGTCCACGTCTACTTTGCCTCCCTCTCCTGCAAGACGTTGACTGCTGCGAACCTCTTTGTCGTTGCAGCGTCGTCGCATCGTGAGGTTGAAGTCGGGGAAAATTCCGTCGTAGTGGGGTGTAACGAAGAGTCTGTCGAAAAAAAAAATCAAAATCAGCTTATTTGTTTAACAATTACATACATGTACATCAGTACCCATATGTATTTTCGCTACTGTCCGAAGTTCTTAAAAAACAGCACGTGAAAACGCAAATGTTGACCAATAACAACTGTGCTTACGCTGAGACACACGTGCAGCAATTGCCATTGCAGTGTCTGCATAAGGCGTGGCAGTGATTGTTGTTCGTCCTGATTATTATTGTTGGTTTTTCACTCCACAGCCGTGCTCTGGGTTTTCGCCAAAATGGTAAATGTTTAAGGCCTACATCGCTTCAGCCTGAAAATGTGTACACAGTGGCGTTAAATACAACTCCTCGTACTTACTTTTCAATCTTAGCCATTCTTTCGCATTCAGGGAACCAGACATGAGAGACGATGAAACAGTAGGATATCCATAACACTCCTGCACAGCCTAAAGGAATGTAAAGTGTCATGTCCTTAAACTCTTCTGGGAAACACCACGCGCCAACGTGCCAGTTACTTGGGAGGAAGTTGAACCGGTACTGGAGATATACCAGCATCAGGCATATTGGCGTCGATAGAAGAAGAGGAAGAGCGAAAGCCGTCTTCTGCATGTGCAACTTGCACGCCATCCCAGCTAGGTACGTGACGACGATGCCAGAACCAATCTGAAGATACATCAAGCTGTAGGATGTCAGATGGTGGATAGATTTGTCCTCTACATCCTCATCCGTTATTGGAAGAACAAAGTTGCCTTTCGTGAGAAATCTAGCCAGAAGAATGGCCAGACCGATCTTCAGAGGGCCGACCAGGAAATAAGTTGTTTCACGAACTTCATGTAGCACAGATCGCCATTGTTTGAAGGAGACCTTGACCTTTCCAAATATTGACCAATCACCACAGAGGAAATTTTCCCACCATCCAATAGACACCAACACAAGGCTCACAGGAAGTTGCCAGTCAAATTGCTTGAATATGACCTCAGTTTGTTTGCTGTCCTCGTCGTTATCGCCGTTTATTTCAATATGTTTCCCTTCTGTTATAAAATTGGTCATCATGAAGAAACACACTGCGCCAAACTGTGTCACGAAGGCTAGTACTGCACAGAATACCTTCAGACAGTCCCACACTTCAGCCTTCAACTTCTTCTCTGTTATTATGACATTAAGGAGACTAGGAATCTGGAACATGGAAAACGTCAGAATAATGCCCCAGAAGAAGTTGGTGTTTGGAAGTACTTTGAACACAAACAAGCTGTAGCCACAGGTCTGTAGAAGTTCTAGTATCGTGACCTGAAATAGACAAAATAAGATATGAAAAAGCATCAATCACAGAACACTTAAAGTCCTACAGTTACATTATATAGTGTCAAACAATAGAACAAATAATGTCTGTCAGATTCAAGGGATACAAACATACTGCGAACCTCGAAAATGACTAGATTCAAAGTAAACCGATTTCCACCGATCGTAATATTCAAATTAAACTGCAAAGCGGTTTTTTCAATATCTTTAAATCACTAACTGCAGTTGCACTACGGTTGCCCAAAACTGCTCTCTGTAACGTAGATGGTGACTTACAATGAAGACAGTTTTTATCGAGGGCCAGTCCTTTCCTCCGAAAAGAATCTTCATGAACGCCATAAACCAGTTCCAGGCTATGGGAACACACATGCAAAACAGAAGGATGACCATGCTCTCTCCACGCCGGTCCATGTCTTTCTGGGAACACATGTCGTATATCCATATACATCAATGCAGCTAGGTGAAGGTATTTACGTCTTTATGTATCATAATAGGTGTTATATGCTATCAAAACTTATTATAAAAATTGATTAAATAACTTGAAACATTTCTCAAATGGTCATTATTCTGATGGGGCGGACTAGGACACACCTTTGTAACGACTACATAACCATTTAACAGTTATAAAAAGACACCGAGTAAAATAGGTATTTTATTGTTGAGTTAAAACATCAACAAATGCACCACTTCGGGCAGATTATACAGTTTCATTTGTAACAGTTAGTAATAGTTTGCAGGGTTCTAGTGGACAGGGTAACGTACGTCTCTGATGCCGGACGTGATGAGGAGTAGGGACAGTCTACTGGACACCGTCCCTCCCAGGATACACGTCACCAGAAGGAGGTACAGGAATAACCGGATCACCTTCAGGATGTTGTTGAATATGGAATCATTGTCCTCGAAATCTCGTTCTGATACCTGGAAGACGTCGTACGGTCGCCTGGAGTGGAAACATGGGATAACAATAAATATAATAGAAGTGCGTATCCTATCTGTCTACGCTTAAGAATCATTATTCCGTATTTCTATGGTTTCAATGGTTTAAAATGGATGGAGTGAGTAGATGTTTCATTCCAAGCACATGGCGACGGTCACAGGTAATCCGAACAACAGAAGGCGTAAAGATAGTGGCCGACGATGCACTTGGACACACGTACGGCCCTCCGTTCCAGAAACCATACAGATAAGGTGATCGTAACTCCCATGGTTTAATGTTGACTAACGACTGTCGTAGCGCTTCGATTGCTTTGTGGAGCCAGGACACACATAGTGATTACCCAGTTCTATTTTGGTAAGTTTCTGTAGCATGAATTGGTAGATTCCCCCCAAATATCCTCGGGAAAGAGAAGAAAGTCTGACTTCAAATAACGCATTGCTCTATGGGCTTCCCGACGTTAAGGGTCTTCAAGGTTCGTGTCACTAATCGTTGGAACATTGCTGACCAAAACATATAATACAACTGGACACTCGCTGAGAACAGCTAGATCTTACCAGAGATCATCCTCGTCCTCCTTATCTGATTCTGCTGACTCGTCTTCACATGTAACTTCTGGATCAGGAAGAGGTTCCTTGATGTTCCCATCGTCTCTAGTCCTTGGGTCCCCACCAATGGCACACTTCGTATCTCCGATAGTGTTGTACAGACTCTGTGTATCTGTACCCACCATGGACACACTTTCACTCAAGTCCTGTTCCAGAGTCTCGGCCACAGAAAGTTGTCTGCTGTCTGTGTCACATGCAGACAAATTGGTTGGGAACAGTTTCCGGTCTAAGGAACCCCCAACGAGATCTCCCGAGATGTTGGCCATTGACATCCTCCGTTTGGAGAAATCCGTAGTTGAATGAACGTGGAGAAGATTTGGAACGGACATCCTCTTCCCTCGGTTGGCATCCATGATGGTGTGAATTGTGTCCGAGGAGGCATTACCGCTGTCCAGAGAGCCGAGGGTGGAGTGGTAGTACTCGGGCTCAGTAGTCCCGTCACTCATCACAGTCAGTAAGGAGGCTTGGGACTGGCGGCGAAACTCTCGCTCTTTGATCTGTTGAATCAGAACAAAATTATACTGCATTCATTTGAACAATGAAATAAAATGAACTCCAGTATTTCCGCTTCAAATTTTCCCGTCACACAAGGTTTGATTATTCACCTGCAAACTCACATCGCATTTACACCTTCAAATGGCAATACATTATGAACTTGTATTATTCCTTCTTGTCAAACAACCATACAGCAGGTACACACGGAAAAGGATTATAAATGAAAGAACATCAAACTCAACTGTAATCCTGACGTTTATACATCACGCATTACATATACACAGTTGAATTGGTAGGGGTCATCAGTGCGATCACTCCCATTGTAAGATATGAGCACAAACAATCCGTATCACACTGCTGAATATAAGCCGAATGAAATAATCCTTTACGGGGGATTCAACGAAACACAAGACCTAAATTGTGATGTGAACTTCATGGCGCATTTCACTCCTCTCGGCAATACATTCAGAGAATAAGTATGTGCCGATGTGGATTTTATGGACAGAGGTACGTTCTGACTGATATGTCCTCCAGGCGATGGAAAGAACCCATGAATTCTGTCGTAGTTAGATGTATTTAGCCATAAGCGCTACACGAATAAACCGTATATCAGAGCAAGGGGCACACCTATATATGTCATGCAATGCTATGACAATATTGCAGTATTACAAATACTCACGTTAACAGATGTTGGGTTCACTCTGATTATTTCAATCCCAAAATGTCAATTTTATTTCTGTATTTGAAATCAAGAATTAGGTGTTCTGGATATCAGGTATCTTTCAGGTGTATGGGTTATTGTGACACGAAGCGACTATAAATCAAATGACTTCATGCAGCTGAAGCATATATTTCCCTATATATGTGGGCTGTTCGAGTATGACTGTCGCCACAACTATATATTACCCCATTGTATTGCTGTCTATTGGTCAAACAATATATCTTGTACCAATTTGGATTCAGAATTAAATTTCAACGTTTGTATTGAATATGATGGCAGTAGGGTAAGTAGTTTTTTGCTTTACAAAAATAATTAATCATAATAATTTTGAGTTTTAACAATATTGGAAATAATAAGTATTCTGTATCTTGTAACAAGAACCTGTTAGGCCCGGAAAGCAACGAATGGTTTTCATTTCATATTCCTAAAGAGAACTTTAGAAGAAATATGTTGTGCAGTGTTAAAATCGTCAGTGAGCTAAATGAAGCTAAAGGAATGGTTAATTAATCTTAATTAAGGATATAGATAAATGTATTTCAAGACATATTCTGAAATATTTATCGGTTTGATAAGGAAGTCCGTCAACACGATCAATCCTTCTTAATTCTTAAGAGGGTTGAACGTTTCATGACAAAACACCGCGACAGGTTGTAAGCGTTGTGGGCAACTGACAGTAATGAATTACCACAAGTGACGTACCTTTTCCTTCAGTGCAGTCTCAAGCTGTTCCTTATGCCACATTTTTAGGAAAAGCTGCAACAAATACAAGTAAGCTTGTGTAAAACCATCCTTCCATACAAAAAATATTTACCCATCATGTCTCGGCTGTGATTGGTTCAATTTGCTAGAGGGCGGTAGGGTAGCCTAGCGGTTAAAGCGTTCGCTCGTCGGGCCGAAGGCCCGGGTTCGATTCCCCACATGGGTACAACTTGTACCATTTCTGGTGTCCCCCGCCGTGATATTGCTGGAATATTGCTAAAAACGGCTTAAAACCATACTCAGTCAGTCAATTTGCTATAAGACACACCATTGGTTACTTTTGCAAACAACATGTGTAGTGAGTGTACAATTCATATATTTTACCGTTTTAGGACTAATGGGATCCGTCTCATCACATAATCGAGACTGGATATTTTGGGGCGTTGGCGGTTTATGTTCATGGTAAGCATGGTAACACATTTGGTATAAAACTGTTGAAGACACTACAGTTATAACATTCATATATATCGTTCTTAGAACTATGCCTAAGATTATCATAGACTTTCAGCGATCATAATAATGATTAACAATGAATATTAACAGACTAGTGGAATGTGTCTTGTAAATGAGTTACGTATTATTATTTCATCTACCGACAAATCTATTAACCCAATAACAACTGACATTTCATCATGAAGGCATAACGAGGGGTTTCTAAGGCTTGTGGTTACATTATACAATATGTAATGTTCAGATTGTATGACGTCATCAAAGAGAGGGCCAGTCAGCTTGACCGGACTGTCAGGTCAGGGCATGTTAATGTCCAGTGGTGGTATGCAGGATGATCAGTCATACGTACGAGTCATTAATATGTCCGTTCCGCCTCAGTGACCTACTAATTGATAATGGCAGTGGCTCAAAGAGATGGCGATTGTCTCGGAACATACATGTAAATGTGAACGATCTTGTATCAATGTTGACTGAATACTGAACGAACGTTTCGGTATGGAAACGAAACTCTTTCCACGTACTTGCGAAATATCTGCTAAAACAGTGTTGATTGTACAATTCCCACTGTATCAGGAACAGTCTCACTGTATCAGAAAGTGATGGCAAAGGTTCTTTTAGTTACCCCCAAACCGTCGTATTTAAAGAATCAAATACTTTGATATACATGATACCATGCAGTCTACAGTGTGCCAGAACATTATGTCTGAGTGTGTAAGACCGAAGTGAGGCAGATCTTAGACGGTGACCACTTTGGTGAAACCCATAAACACCAATATGGTGCTGACAAACTGTGAACATAATCACAGATTTGTTACATTAAACAATGAACATATATTTCTTTCATGCTCAGAGAAAATGATGCATTAGAGAGAAAGGGGAATGTATTTGCAAAAATCACGGAATTATTAAAGTGAATATTTGTTGAAACATATTTCATGAATTAGGTTCAAATATATTTAATATTTCACAGGCTTCAACAGCGTATTAATTATGAACTAGATTATTATGTATCATATAGTTTTAATCAAATATTCACATTTTAATTCTACAATTATTTCAGACGAAACTTTCAGTTTACAAAGAGTATTTATCTTCATATTCGCTGTACTGAAATTAATTGCATGTAAAATAGAATGTTGTGAGTAAGATTTTAACTACCACTCCGAAAACATCTGTGAATGTTTATAAAAGGAGTCATATTAACTACATGCATTAATAACATGTAAAATACAATTTAATATGTATCATATTCATGCCAAATGTATTTATAGTCGACTTCGTAATGATAATTACGAATTTTACGAGTGAACCGATTGGAAATTTCAACGTAAAGGCTATACTGCCATTGTGACGTGACGTTAACGTTTACTCTCTCGGAACATATTTAAATAATACTGGATCAAAATTTGTTAAACGCAAAAAAATAATAATAAATGAAATAATGAAAACATATGCTTAACGTCATTTCTCTGTCACATGAAAAGAATATATGATAGAACGACAAATTGGTTTCCACGTACCTTGGACCTTCCCTGTCTGTAGTCACGCACATGCACGGCCCTCAGTATTTCCTTACAGCGAGATAGGGAATCAGCATCGTAGTTCACTTCATCACATATACCAGAGTACCTGTCATACAGAGAAATGTACACCTTCCATCAGAGACCTGCATACAGCCAATACCCGTACAGGCAGTTGGGTGGTCTACTTATACTGAAATGTACATGCTGGTCATCTGTCTCAGGGCATGGCTACTCCCTTAAATTACAATTAGTCAAGTGGTCAGATCCTGTCATGGAGAACATTGACTGTTCGAGTCGGACATCTGTTAACACCAATACCTAATTGTGTAGTTCGCGGTCCGTGATCCAGTGAGTGCAACAAGGAGTTCCACATGAAGACTTGGTATATTGAACATGTATTATATCGCCAACTTGTAGAAATTAAAATAAATATATAACACGGGAGGGCCACACCTACGCTGACCGTTGATATCATGAAAGTTGGAAAAAATGTTGGAAACATGATTATCAAGTCTTATTATATCTTTGCTGTAAATCATGCTGGCATATATCTATAATATTATCTCTTTGCTATTTACTGTGGACCTCTTATGCCCGGACCGGATCGTTAAACTGGAGCTGTCCGTACTAACCGATCACGGGCAAAGGGAGCAGTACTTCTTTAAAATTATGTAAATATAAAACAATCATGGCCTGGTGACAGGACGTGCAGGATCCGGTTCGAAGGGTTTCAACAGTAATGTTTTCTGCACTGCACTTTCAAGACATGATTAGATCATTGAGTTTCCCTCTTACAGTTGTTAACTGCTTGCGGCGAGCTGTTCTTGATGTGATAGCTGCCTTACGTTTCAATGCATTATATCAGACGTGGCGATCATTGTTCATCGCCCACTCGATGCACCCAAAAACATTTAACCAAAGGTATTCTAAGGTGAGGTTATATGGATTAACAGAACATCCTCTCTAATACTATATATATGCACTGACATATATATTTATAACCTAGTACATGAGCAAAAACGGTGAATCTTTCGGGTTTTTTCTCTCTGACTCATTTTCAAGTATTTCCACGTTCCTAAACATTGGCCAATAAACTCATAGCTACATAGAACAACGCGACATCGTCAGTCAAGACAATAAAGTTATTCATTCTCCTTTAACACGTGGGAGCGACCTTAAGCCCTGATACTGTGGGTTCCGCGAAGGGAGAGTCACGTTTTTTGTTGATAAACGAAGTACGACAAAAATCTTGAAAGACGTACATATTTCGCATCTGCATTTATGGTCAGGAGCGTCACGTGAAGTTTTTGGAGGGTCAGCGTCCAGAAAGACCATTATGACGTAGTTTACCCACGATTATCTTGTTACACGTCATTGTTTTATATATTGTGGGTGTATAATACATAGTGCTACGCGAAGTGATGACATTTTACGCAATAATATACATTTTAATGCATGTTAGCCAAACATTAACAAGGGGCCTGTTTGGACGTCATAACGTACAGTATTTGATACAGATCTCGAATGTCATCAGACAATTGCAAATAACCTGCGGACAATACTTTACTTGGCAGTAATCAATGAAAATGTTTTAGAGTATACATTTTTGCAGCTATCCTATGTTATTCAAGAATACAACTACTGAACATTTGTCTACCTGAGGAAAACTGACATATGTCATGGCGTGATGTCATCCATTTATATAATGTAAACCAAACTGAATGTCTTCCTAAGGATATTCAAGACTGGATACTCTTTTGCACTGATGTTTTATGTTCAGAAAACACACACACACGCGCGCGCGCACACACACATCCATATATACGCACGCGCGGCACACACACACACACACACACGTTCATACATATATCAATAACTGCTATTATATTTAACATTAGGTAATATAGCGGTAAACCGGCCAAACTGAGCTCTGATCTTTCTCAAGAGATGTTTACACAGGTCACCGTTATCAGTTTTTAGTGGTATGATATGCGCAACTTGAGCTTACATCATTAAGTGAAATTGAGTTAGCAATTAAAACCAGTTTTAAAAAAATATGCAATTTGAAAAGTGAAACTACACTGACTGTCTAAATATAACGAAATAGCAAGGTATTCAACACGATTCAAGCACATATGAATACCTAATCTGATATAATGTTTCGTTACTTGTGTTTCGGCGGACTGTCTCCATGAATCATGTCCCTATGTCCGTGTATGTGACAGTCCCCACACGTCTAGCCCTGCCCCCAGGGTTCTATATATACTCTCACCGTATCCTACAAGGATGTACCGGCCACCTACATATTGTCCAGCTGTACCTTACATACAGCACGGGACATCTGAGATGTTTCAACCCACACAATTGTAGAGTGTCACACAAATCAACAAACAATGCTGTTTCCCTATTTAGAACTTTAATTTTTATCTGATGCATAGGAGCGGGTATAAGTATGCGAATATTAATTGCATCCAGTGTGCGAAATAGCCACTGGCCCCGGGTCTAGTAAAAATCCAGTCGGGCCAGTAAATCTCTACAGTCACTGGCTCGACTGGTTAGTGAGTTTTCATGGGGTCATTTTGCAAATATATCACTCTCTCCGACTTGTTATGTTATAATACACGTTTAAATCATGCAAGATTATGGGTTGATGAAAATAGTTATCATATTGGCAGCTTAATGCTGAAACCCGTGTCTGCATTCAAGTTTCGGGCTAGTGAAATATTGTTTGGGCTAGTAAAGTTCCAGCATAGTTGGCCCGGCTGGCTTGCAAAATTTGGAAACAAATTCGCACACTGATTGCATCACGGTGTGTTTTTCAGTTGCGTCCAAATCAATAGGGTATTTACGATTAAATCATGATAGTTATGACTGTAATGCATAGTTAAACTAGAACAACCCATCTAAAATAGGTGATAATCTCCTTCTGGAGATTAATAGGACCATGATAAAACTAGATCGAAACCGGGCAATCGGGGTCAAGACAAAACTATACAGGGGAACTTTCTCAGAACACTTATCCAGGAAAAGATCTTCATGTATATTTGAGCATAACATATATCCAAAATACATCAGTGCATGAATCCACTCTTCACTTTCGCAGTCTCAATGCAATTATTCCACCAAAACATATATAGAATAGAAATGGATGAACGTTTCGTACAGTTTGTCAACCATTGGCCCCAAATTGAGTTTCGTAAAATTTCGAATACAAAATATGGATACCTTATGATGTATTACAAAAAGAAGGATTTAATATTGCTTTGATATGACTATTTCTTTTCATATAGATAAACAGTTCTGTTCTCCATTCACATATCCACATTCATATTCACTGTATATACTGCATTGAAAGAAGGGACTGAAAACGGCAGAGGTAGGTACACAGGGGAAATTGACGGCGGTATGTATGTAATCGAGTCTTAATCCCTTAATTGACATTATGAGCAGAACTCCACGAAATTTGGACAATATTACATGCGCTAACAAAGCCAGCTTGTCTGATCACCCGAACCCGATATCCGCCTCTCATGACAAGCTGAAGACCTCTTAGTACCCGGATATTCACGGATGTCTTGATACATGTTGTTGTTGTTGTTGTTTTTGTTTAACGCCGCACTCAGCAATATTCCAGCTATATGGCGGCGGTCTGTAAATAAACGAGTCTGGACCAGAAACTCCAGTGATCAACAGCATAAGTATCGATCTACGCAATTGACGATAGCATGTGTAAACCACGTGAGCGAATGTGAACACCCGATCTCGTTGGTCGCCTCTTAGGACAAGTATGGGTTGCTGAAGACCATTTCTAACCTGGATCTTTACACGGTGTCTTGATACATGTATGTGTGTGAGATGTATAGTTCTGAGGGAAATGGCGTTTTATTACACCCATGTAAATTACAGCACATTAGACCTACCTTTCAGCGAAATCCTCATATCGAATTCTGATTGGATAACCGTCCCTACGGAGCTGTGCAATTTCCATCAAACCGTTGCAAAGCAACTGTCTACGGACCAGCGTTATGTCAAACTTGGCTGGGGAGAGGTTTTTGTTGGGCTTGAGGCATCTGAAGATTTAACATTTAATTAAATGTTATGTATGCATGTGAAGTCACACAATGCTTGTCATGCAACGACGCATAAGTTTGTTGAAGTTGATTATAAATAATATTTTAAGAAAAAATGCAACAAATTATGTTTTACCTGACAAACAGCGGCTGAGCTTGTGACAGTTTAGACATCAAATCTGACAAGGACCTCTGTAAATAGGAGTAATAGAAAGGCATAGCGTAAAGTATTTCATTTGATTTTATGTTAACTGCTTAAATTATACATGCTCAATCCGTTAACCATCAAATCAGTTGTCAGAGCATAATGAAAAAAAATCTTGGTTTGGTTGTTCGGATTCCCCTGCATTCAAATTACCTTCCATCTCGAATATCCAGTTATCTCGAATTCAGATAGGTCTATTTTACTTCGAGTTGAAATGAATGCAGATTATACAACCATTTGCGAATGAGTGTAGTTTTACGACGCTTCTAGCCATATACCAACATCATAATGGCATGAGTCATAATAACTAATCTTTAAACTATACCCATGTAGAGAATCGACCTGGTCTTAAGCGTAACCAGCGAACGGCCATCCCACCTCCCTTACACAAACCATTAAAACAACAGACACTTGTTAAGATACATCTTGGATCACCGACCTTGAGATGCTTGTTAACAGTTGGGGACGCCCGGCCCGATGTACTTGGGATACTGTCACCGGAGAGACCTCTGAATGAAACAGATGCAAACACAGTTGGGATAAAAAACAGCAACTCAAAGCATAAATTCTATTCATGAAATTCTAAAGATACTATAAATACAACTCATACAGACAATTCACAAGTCACTGGGACGAGATCGACCGTAATTGTGGAATAAAGTGATTAACCTCCTGTCGAAACTATATTATCAGGAGTGAAGATAAATAAATATGATAAATATCCGTGGTCAAATTAAAAAAAATGAAACCTCGGTTTGAAAAATCAGGGTAGGTGTTTCTGAATGTCAGGGTATATATCGGGATACTTCACACTCCACAGAGACATGATTTCAGCATCCATCATACTTGATGCTGCCTATCCTGTCTCCCGGACCCCCATCCCAACCTGGACAAGATCCTACCAGCTACCTAGAACCACTGGACATCCTTGTCCAGAATACGTTATGAAGTAGATTCAATAAATGTCATCTTCTGTCCATCTTGGCGTGTACATGTCACAGTAAAACACGTGGTAAGCATAATGATTCAAGTAAGTATCACTGTGTCTAGGTACAACAATGGAAATATTTGTAATAACCCAGTCCCAGAGTTGTCTTAGGAAATGGTCCGTTTGTTCTTGAAAGAAATATATTCATTGAGAAATCATTATAAGAATCACGTACCCTATAAGGGAAGCAATGGATGTTTATTCCCCACATACCATCGTGTAAATATTCTTATCATGGACGTACTTAGAAATGGTTAAATAATAATGACGGGATCTAACAGAGACACCTGACAATATTGACACAAGATGGTACAGTAACTGGCAGCTTCAGAGTGAACTAGCCCCTTCATGCAAATGTAGTTCCAGGATATGGGACATCTCGTGCGGCGAGAAGATGACCTCACTGCCATCTCGCCTATAGGACATTAATATGTCTATACATGTGTGGTACACATTGAACAATGAAGCTATAGTATAAAATAAGTTCATACCTTCTCTTTATTTTTAGAGAAGCCTCTCTTGATAGTTTCACTTTGAGTCGATCTGCCTCGATCATCACAGGCCATGCTGAAGGCAGTTTCGGACGACCAGAATACTTGCTTGCGAAACTAAAAAAGAGATAATTATATAATAACTTGAAACTTTTTCGATAATGAAAAAGACTTCATGAGCTTGACACAATGCCACGTTCGATCTCCTTTATCTGTCTGTGAGTGAGTTAGTGAGTGAGTGAGTGTGACCTATGTCACTGGTGTGACAACCGGGACCCGAACCCACGATCATAAGTTTCTAGCAGGTCAAAGGGACAGTATCCTGCACAGCGACGGACGAATATGTCCGTCCGTACCCACTTTTATAAATTCCTAGCGTTCGCTATCACGTTAACGACTATAACAGGATTGTTAATATCCTTCTTCGTTGTATCCGGAATCGAATGTAACGTCTCCTCGAGAAAGTCCTGTAATGTATATATTCTAAAAAAAAACATCAGTGAATATTAAACCCACGGCTTGGTATAAGTAACTAGATCCGTATACGTGATATGCATGAATATATTAAATTCATTTTGATATTTCTCTATAATTATATCCCCGTAGGCGATGTGGTAGTCCGACAGTGAGGCGAGCATGCTCGGGGCTGCCACTGTCTCCCCGCCCTGGCCTGACAGGTTTATAGCCCAGAACAACGGACGAGTGGGGAAATGTGTCAGTAGGAGCTGAGTCCGTCTGGAAGATGTATTGTAATGTTATAAATGCAGCTTCCTGATCTTCTCTTTGTTCTGTGAGAGGATACCTAGGTACGAATCAAATCAACGGGTACCTATCCCACTTGCCTGTCGTTACAGCAGAGGTTGTAGAAAAAATGTGAGAGGTATGCAAACCACAAATAACACACAACATGTTAGTTCCATAACGCATATATCTTTTCTTTGGAATGACGCCTACTGAAATAATATTACTAATGTATTATCATAAAAATAGCTAGGAGGTGGTCCCTGGCAGGAGAGACATACAATTCTTACTCCGGGGTGGACTCTGTGACGACCATGTCATGATACATATGTTACTTACTCCGAGACGGTCATGATACATATGTTGCTTACTCAATGACGGTCATGTCATGATATATATGTTACTTACTCAGAGATGATCGTGTCATGGTTTATAATGTTACTTACTCCGAGACGGTCATGATACATATGTTGCTTACTCAATGACGGTCATGTCATGATATATATGTTACTTACTCCGAGATGGTCGTGTCATGGTTTATAATGTTACTTACTCCGAGAGGGTCAAGCCATGATATATATGTTACTTACTCCGAGATGGTCAAGTCATGATTTATAATGTTACTTACTCCGAGACGGTCAAGCCATGATATATATGTTACTTACCCCGAGACGGTCATGACATGATACATATGTTACTTACTCCGAGACGGTCGTGTCATGATACATATGTTACTTACCCGAGACAGTCATGTCATGATACATATGTTACTTACTCCGAGACGGTCATGTCATGATACCTATGTTACTTACTCCGAGATGGTCAAGTCATGATTTATAATGTTACTTATTCCGAGATGGTCGTGTCATGATATATATGTTACTTACTCTGAGGGGTCAAGCCATGATATATATATATATCACTTACTCTGAGAGGGTCAAGCCATGATATGTATGTGACTTTCTCCGAGATAGTCGTGTCATGATATATATGTTACTTACTCTGAGAGGGTCAAGCCATGATATATATGTTACTTACTCTGAGAGAGTCAAACCATGATATGTATGTTACTTTCTCCGAGATGGTCGTGTCATGATACATATGTTACTTACTCTGAGAGGGTCAAGCCATTATTCATATGTTACTTACTCTGAGAGGGTCAAACCATGATATGTATGTTACTTACGCCGAGATGGTCGTGTCATGATATATATGTTACTTACTCCGAGATAGTCATGTCATGATGTATATGTTACTTACTCTGAGATGGTCATGTTATGATAAATAATGTAGCTTACTTTTAGAGGGTCATGTTATATAATGGAACTTACTCTGAGTAAGTCATGATACATAATGTAACTTACTCTGAGAAAGTAATGATGAATAATGTTACTGACTCTAGGATGATCTATCACAATAAAGACGTAATGTTGAATGTTACTTTCTCTGAGATGGTCCCTGAGTATAATGACATAAGGTATAATGCAACTTACTCTGATATGGTCCCTGTGGCTGAGAGAGACGCCGTGAAAAGGTCCTTCACAAAGTCGTTGTTGCTCTGTTGAAGACACAGCGTTAAGTCCTGGCTCAGGTTGTCACGGTTTCGTTCCAGAAAACCTTTGGCGTCGTACATCACCTGCAAATAGAACATAGATGAAAGCGGTTATTACTGCTTCATCCAATTTTGACAAAATGTCCACGTGGCTAATTTTCTATGACAGTTTATAACATTCCAACGACATGGTGCTTTTGTGAACTGGATAAATTTTTTAAATGTTAACATTGCCGCTTGACTAAATACTTTCCACAATACGAACGATCGTCAGTAGAAACGCTGTCATTTTTATCGTCATATTCAAATGTCAATGCCACTTTAATCATGAACGCTACTCAATCGCTACAATCTTATTGAAATAGTACAACACCAACGCACATCGATGTTTATGTTCTTTTGGAAACATAAACAATGCAGTCTGAATTATATAAATCAGTTAATGAATTTTGTAAAGCAAAGATACTCTCACTGTATGAGGTTGGAACGAGGCTGTCTTATGAAGCAACAACGACAGTGAGGGAGTGAAGTTTTACGCCACTTTTATCAATATTCCAGCATACATCGGAGCCCCAAAATGGGCTTCACATATTGTACCCAAGTGGAGAATCGAACCCGGGTTTTCGTCATGATGAGCGAACGCTTTAATCACTAGTCTACCCCCACCGCCCCGCAACAACAGAAACAACAACAACAACAACAACAACATATGTCCTCAAGGCATATAGAGCAGTGACTGCTGTAGGGGTGGATAAATGTTTGTATGAGGGCGTCAACCGTTAACGTACGTTTAAAACCAATGTCATGTCCTGAATACTTGACTTGCATCTTACATGTGAGCAATATACGTGAATGAAATATTTGGCAAAGGAAAACATGTGGTATTCAGGAGGTCGCATATAATACATCAAAATCTACGCCAGAAATATTTCTAAGACTGTCGTGTGACCTTCACTTTTGCTCACGACGCTAAAGGTGGAACAAGACGTCATTACCCATTTAAGGAACATCTTATGGCGTCTTGTACGTTTACCATCGTTCGTGAACTGTATTTTTCTGTCAGCTACCAATGTAGTTTAGATTATATTTATTTTTGCTGTGAGAGATATCATTTAAACTTATGTTAAACTTTCTGATTGACGCTTTGTTTGTTTTTGTTTTGTGTTTTGTAAATTATGAAACGAAGACCTCGTGCAATGAATAATTTCTGTACATTTTATATTGCGGAATGTATGATTTTTATATGAATATGACTATAGAGTATAAATACCACAAATAATATCTGAAATCTCTGAACAACGCATTATTCTAATAGAAAATACTATATTTTGTCACATCAATGTACCTTCTCAGCATAATGTTGTATACCGAATCCAACTTGAGACCTCAGGGGAAGGTAGCGATCACTCTTGGAACAGTACTTGTTGAGTTTATGAACAAACGTTGAGTCTGTTGACTGAGGGAAATGGGATTCCTCGTCCAGTAGAGACAGGATGCCATGAGGACGCTGTGAGAGAAGAGTAGAATATAAAAACATAAAACTAAAAGCTGTTTGTAATTCAAATTCGGTATGACCAGAGACCATTGGCGGAAGTCAGTGATGTTCTTTTATGTTTCTGTTTCTCACCTGAACAACAGCAAATGCAAATGCGTGTTCGATAAAGGGTTAATAGTCTTCATCGGTACTACAGCGTTTAATTAAATGAAAGCGACAGAACAGTTTCCACATCTATGATAAATCTCTGCTGAAAGCAGAGTCGATTGTACAATTCTGACTATATCATATGTAGGTGTTTGTCTGACGCCGCATTCAGCAGTATTACAGCTGTACGACGCGGTCTGTAAACAATCGCCCCTGGACCAGACAACATGAGATGCGACGACAGAGCATGTGTTTAGGAATCACTACTAAATAGTGATGATACCCGTGGCCGTATGGCACTCAACACACTTAAAGAGAATGGCTGAGCCTCCATGTATGGTCGCTTGTAGCAATATGGCTGGCCTCCATAACTTGCAGAACGTCTGAACACCGGCCTCACATGTACTCGTTGTGTCGGTATAGTTCAGTACTCAGCCAGGTTAAAACATCATCAGAGAATTCCTGAGATCACCGATTGTGCTTACCGAGAAGACCAGGTCCAACACCTCATCGTTAGACCTGTAATTGATGTCCGACCATTCCACACCTTCCAGTTCGTACTCTTTCCGCTCACGGGGAAGATGTAGTCCATGAAGTACTGCTGGAGACGCTCGTTGGAGATGTTGATGAGGAATTGGTCGAAGCAGTTGCTATGGAAGTTCTCGAACCCTGACATGTCTAGCAGTCCGATGGAAGGCCCGCGGACAAGTCTGTAAAAAGACAAAGATATCTGTAAAACGTGCAAAGGAAAAAAATCATAAGGATATATATTTCAGTTTCCATGAGTTGTTTGACATACATATTTAATGTCAAGTTGTAATTTTAAAGATTGTTTTAATTAATCAACTTACTTTAGTTCTTCCGAGTTTTCTGGCCACAGATTCCTGTTGACTTGACCAACGATCCAGCCAAAGAGTCTCGCATACAATTCCTTAGAAAGTGCATCCCTTCCGTCATTTGCCTCCCTCAGAGTTTTCCAGCTTTGGATTCTCTCGCCTAGACATAGCAATGTAAAAAACGGTATGGATAAAAAAGACGATAAAAGACAAGCATTTATGAAAACGATATATGTTGATGGATAAATATATTTGCTAGGTCCTTTTGATTAAGTGACACTGTCTCTTCCCATATAAACTATATTGGAGCATGAAAGTTGCAGTTACCTTTGATGGTGTTGACGTTAGAGATTAGAGCCTCTGTGAGGGACATTTCGTTTTCAATGCCGAGTAGTTTCACAACTGCCGCAAGTGGGTACTCATCCGCTACTGTTACTCCATCTGTGTCTTCGCAGGGCAAGAAGACGATGTTGGCCAGGTGCAGGATGGATGCCAGGATGATGTAGATCACAGTCAAATGCTGTCAATTTCAAAACGTTTAATTTAATTGAATATTAATCATTTTTTCAACAGACACCTTGGGGGTAATCGTGTGAAGTAAGTCAAGTGAGTGAAACAGCATAATGTTATGCATCGAAGCATCAAAGTCTACTGTGCACACATTGAAATGTATGTTTTTGTTCTTTCCCTATGGATCGGTATCACATACAATCACTCATATCTGTCTGTTCAATCTGTAACGTTGTTTTGAGGAAAATACGTAAGAGGTACTCTGATTTAATTTGTAGCAACATGCTAGCAGTATCACAACGGCCTACAAACAAGTACATTGTAATTCCATCTAGACAATCAATGCTGGCGTTTTGGTCTTAAAACGAATGCTCTACCTACTGGACTATCCGTCCAACCCGCAGAAAAAAAGAAGTCGACATAAGACGTTGAAGGATCCGAACTTGAAAAGTATTACAACGGCCTCCGCAGTGATCAGTTTGTTAGTTTAAAAAATATAGTGTATGCTACAAAAACTGAATATATCTACCTCTTCTGTGAATCCGATCTGGAAAATGAGGCAGGTGAGATCCCCAAACATCCGCTGGTAGTATTGGAACTCCTCGGGGGTTTCGTATACACTCTTGGTGGGGTCAGTGTCTCTCATGATTCTGGACGACAAGGAAGTGTTTAGCTCCATGACCACACATCAAGTCAATTAAAGCAATCAATTAAAGCACAAGTGGGATGGAGTTATTTGAAATCGTGTCCTTTCACCTATTCTTTTGGGTCATTTGTGTAGATGCTGACGATGGTGTGTGTTTCAGATACAATTCAGTAGTGCTTTAAGACACGATGGCATATATGAAATCATTTGAATCAAGTATCATTATGGTCGATGAGAGGCTAATTAAAGTCCAACGTTAATGAATTATGCATGATAGAAACAATGGTGAGAACTATTATAACACTTCTTTCAGGGTAAATGTAAAATTACTGTATTGTGCATAATGTAGTATTTTAGGTTCGTGTACATTTAGGGTCACATGTGTAGAGGCAATGACAAGATGTAACATCAGGATTCTTCCTGGGATTTCAAGGAAAGTAAATATATTGTGAACTGAGTTTGTGCAATGAAGAACATGGCTTGAGGTACTCATACTCAAAACTGTTTCTTGGAATATACCAACGTTTGGCGAACAGTCTGCAATGACTGACATGAGATACATCTGTGCTGGTTATAAAGTAGTGCAGTCACCTGTGCGAGTCTGGGTCCTCCAGGAAGTAGTACAAGAGTCGATCTCGAGACATCCCAGCGAACAGAGCGTAGAAGATGTGAAAGTTCTTCTCCCCAGCAGAGCGGTGAACAACTCGAGACTTCTCCAGAATGTAGTCATCGATTTTAGCTGAAAGAATGAGAGAGTGACTTTAGTTTTACGCCGCACTCAGCAATATTCCAGTTATATGGATGCAGTCTGTAAATAATCGAGTCTGGACCAGACAATCCAGTGGTCAACAGCATGAGCATCGATCTGCGCAATTGGGAACCGATGACATGTGTCAACCAAGTCAGCGAGCCTGACCACCCGATCCCGTTAGTTGCCTCTTACGACAAGCATAGTCGCCTTTTGTGGCAAGCATGGGTTGCTGAAGACCTATTCTACCCCGGAATTTTCACGGGTCTTAGCTGAAAGATGAAAGGCAATAGCGATGTCAGAAATGTTTTAATTGTGAGAAAACAGGTTAGTTACCATGTTGAAACTCGAGTGATAAGGAGAGTTGGAAGATTGTAGACGTTTACAAGAATTTGCTAGCGAGGAATGATAACACCCGACAGACAAAAGGCCGCCCGTATGATCCAGAGATTGTGCAGTTTACCTCCCAGTAGAGTTCCATGATCGTTGTAATGCAGCTCGATAAACTTTCCGAAACGACTCGAGTTGTTGTTCATGTTGGTGGCGGCGTTCCCAAAAGCTTCCAGAAGTGGATTCACCTGACAAAAAGAGGTCAGGTTATTATATGCTAGGGTATAACAATGACAAAAGGGAACTTTATTCCGATTTATGTTGAAACACTCCTCTACTTCTACATTCATATGTTCATAGTCAATACGTTCCTGTACTTTAGTTCCATAAACAGACCCTATCAATGTGGTCTTCTAGATGTTATGCACAAAGCTACTTTTTACCTATTCATATGTAATGACTGTGTTGTACAAACCTTGACAATCTTGTCCAGGAGTTGCCTGTCTGAGCTCGGACTGATGTGCATCAGGTGCCGGATGATGTATTTTGTGGACTCCGTCTTTCCAGCACCGGACTCGCCACTAACCAGGATGCACTGGTTTTGACCAGAATCCACCATGTTTCTGTAGGCCCTGTCAGCCACCCAGAACAGGTGAGGAGGTTTGGACATGCGTGACAGAACATGTTTGTAGTTATTGTGGTGCTGTTGAGTAAGAAACACAATGTTAGTGTGGACATAATAGTAAAACAAATAGCTGCAGTTCGCGCGACCAACGAGATGTCCATTGTTCGAAAAGATACCGAGTGCCAATATGCGGCCTTCCTGTCGAAAAGGATTAATTTGTTAATTATATAATTTCTTTTTCCTAATCAACACACGGAGAAAAAGGACGTCATGGTATTCATATTAAATAAGAGGGCGGTGGGGTAGCCTAGTGGTTAAACCGTTCCCTCGTCACGCCGAAAGCCCGGGTTCGATTCCACATGGGTACAATGTGTGAAGCCCATTTCTGGTGTTCGCCGTCGTGATATTGCTGGAATATTACTAAAAGCGACGTAAAACCATACTCACTCATTCATACTCATATTACATAAAGATAATAGACAATCTTACGAAGTGGTTTGCTATCAAATACAGTCAAACCGTTTTCTCGAAGATTAAGGGACTTTAGTAAATACTTCGAGATATCTGAGGTTCGACACCAACGCAAAATGATGACTAAACAAAGAATATGCAGGGACCAAGACTTTACTTCGAGACAACAACAATTTCGACTCATCAAAGATCGACACAAAGGTGTTTCACTATATATCATCATGAGTCCATAACAGTTTACGATTAACAGGCTTACTTGGGAGTTTTAAACTTTTATCGACGAGTGTTTGATAAATTCTATATTTAAGGACAGGAAAATAAGATTCAATATATCATCCTAAACCATTCTTTGAATTTTTCTCTCGCATGCCTCTTTAAGACATCACAGAGACGGATGTCATTTCATCTCGAAGGGCTTCAAAATATAAAATGTCTCCGCGACAACATTTATATTTGTCAACTTTATTCATAAACCATGGACATAAAATATCAACAAAAAAACATTCAGGAATGTCGTATGTTTTCATGTCAAGGGCGTACTTGTTACACTCTGGAGAATAATTACCCTTTCGCTGTATACATTCAGAGGCTTGCACGGGTTGAAAGCAATGAGAATATCACCGATGTATGTCTGGAAAGGAACAAGAAACAAGAAGCTTCAGAGTGAGAACATGTTTGTACTGAAAGAAAACATAAACACGTATGTGTGGTTTTAAGTCGTTATTTGCATGTTACAGATAGTCAAGGAAAGATTCACACATGTCGCGGTTACGATCCATGCTTGGTGTGGGACAGTGTTTGCTACACTTTAATTTGCCAGCAGGCCATTAGGGCCTGCAGATTTTAAAGCCTGCCTAATGGCCTGCTGGAAAATGAAATCAGCAGGCCCTTTTGTTAAAATCAAACCAGTAAAATCAAAATAAACTACACTGTACACAGTTTCACACGGTTTCTACAAAATCAATTAACGAAGCCTATGGCGGAGAGAGGAGGTTTTAATTTACTTGTTAAAGACTGGTGTTGACATTCCTGTGCGCAAAGTTCTGAAATACCAGGAAGTGAAACTGTCTGGTATTCGTAACATGATGATTCCCGAACGTTAATAAAGAAAGAAAAAAATTATGGGAAAGATTCCAGTTGAAAAAAGATATTGACAGATAATTTACTGAAGGCCACAAGATCCTGCAAATATCTTCAACTGCCGACCCGATACAATAACAACCGGCGCTGGACCTCCAGGCCGGCGATTATTTCGAACGCTGGTGTGGGAATTACCAAAATAGTTAACCTTGTGCCTGTATGGACTTAACGTCTATTTTACGCTGACACGCAGTGATAAAACATCTTGAGATAAGGGGTATCAAACAAATGATGTGACCAGATTCCAGGTGAGTGATTGGCTACTCCGTGGTGATTATTGTCCCTTGTTAACTGTAATTTATTGATACGTTTCACGTGCTTGTGTCGAATCCACCTTCGCCTGTGTCTAAGCGTTATTGTCTTACAATGTTAAATCAATGTTCATTGTTTCCTCGCCTTGGTAATCATCAGAAATAGTTGAAACTTCTTTTCTGTGTAGGATCACACTAGATCTGGATATGAGTAGTGAGCAGGAAAGCTCGATGACGTCACTGCTTGTGTTATGTATTCATACGCCACGGAGAGCAGATGTTCCACATGGGCATCGATTCGATGCTATCATATCAGGTGTGGGAGAAAACTAATGGGGGATTAATCCCTCGCCTCTCAGTCCTGGAATTTAATGCTGGACTTTAATATTAATTATATTCGTAGAAAGCTTAACATTACTCAAATGTGTTCTTTATAATAATTGATACCAATTATTGCTCATTCTCCTCAATGGTAAGATGGTGGGTATCAATAAAGTTTTATGAAGGAATTGCAAAGTACATTTTACTTACATAGTATCTGTCCTTTTCGTATCTGTGTCTGAGGGTTTCGAGGATGGTTTCTTCATCTAGCACCTCCAAGGAGCAGAGGTCGTCCGTGTAGGGCATATTGGAAGGTCGTCGGGCTGAAATAGCAGACATGTTATTGTTGAAAACTGTTGATGTAGGTTCTCACACCGCCCAGCCCACGCTTGAATATTTAAAGGACATTCGTGAATAACATAAGCCTTTAAGTATCCCTGTCAGCTTGAAATTCTATGCCATTCTTTGTCTGTGACGTTCAATTAAGAAAAGTGTTTTCAGGAACAATGTATGATAATTACGTGTTTAGAAGTTGAAGATGGAGTGCAAAACTTATTTTCTCAAGTTTATGTTATGGTCGGCGGATTAAATTTAAAAGCAATACTTTCAACATCCAATATACTTTAGGTAAATTTACAGTTCACTTCAGTGCAAAACAACTCTTATGAGTGATCTTCTCTTTCTGATTGGGTGGAATAGCAACTCAGCATCAGTCATCCTCGAAAGGTCTGTCGCAGCACCATCTTTGTTTATTATTGTGATGTAAAATTCGCTTGACAAACAAAATCTTTGTGAAGTTGTCAACATTTCTACAGCTAACTTAATAATGGTGGTGAGTTTGACACAAAACAACAACCAAGTGTTTTTGTTTGCATTTGTAACAGAAGATATTCTTTGAAACTACCCATTTGGCGTTCACATATATCAATAACATTGATTATTTACAAAAGTAAAAGCAAATTAAAACCATGAATGAATACAAAGAATTGATCGAGGTTAGTAATGGTCAGACAGACACGAATAGGTCAATATATTTACACATGTAGGTATGGGCATTGTTTGTGTAATTATCGCGATACCTATGACAGTTGTGACTGACACTGACGCTGTAGGCCTGTTCTCTGTCCATCATATTTAATACGTGCACGTATCAGGTAGTGTTATCCGCTAAGTGTGTTAGGAGTGAGTGAGTATGGTTTTTTACGCCGCTTTTAGCAATATTTCAGCAATATCACGGCGGGGGACACCAGAAATGGGCTTCACACATTGTACCCATGTGGGGAATCGAACCCGGGTCTTCAGCGTGACAAGCGGACGCTTTAACCACTATGCTACCCCACCGCCCCAAGTATGTTAGGTTGTTCAGGTAGTTGCTGTTGATGACAGATTACACCGTATGCACTATATAACATCAACAAATACACTGATGGCGATCCATCAAAGTGAAAATAAATGTCAAGAAGTTCAAACTTTCCTTAAAACATCTCAAAGTATACGAACGTCATGTGTCAAAGTCCCTTCGGGATGTCATACACCTGTCGAATCACACGTCTAATGTCCTATCAGGTACTATTTTTGCCCTGGAATTGCATTAAATATTGTAGTCTGGGTGAGGTCTATGTAATATAGTGTAACATAGAATATAATGTAATAGATATAACTCAAACAATGAAACAATCTCGGCAAAATGTGGAAAATGAAACACTGATTATTTCAAGTGTGAAAAAATGTGATATTCAAATATTTGAAAAAGATGTGTTTTTACAAAAAAATGTTTCAGGATGTAAGGGGTGACTAACAAGTTGATACGTGTATGCACTCACAATCATATGTACATACAATTAGATATGTTCCGTGTAAATATGTAAGAAATATCCATCCCTTTTCAAACTTGAGACAGGTATCCTTGTAAATGTGTTTGAAATATGCTAATACACAAATGTTATGTATGATTTATAATTGTTTTCATTTTTTCCCAGGTTCTCCTAAAACAACGTGTCATCATTGCGCCTGTCCCTGTCTGTCGGCGCCCAGGAGTGTGACGTCAAACGTCTATAGACAGACCAATACATGCCGAGTTATGCGGAAACTCAGTGGTAAATGAAAGTATCATGGCGTTAGCAACATACATAGGATTGTCTGGAATTAATGAAGTGAATACGAAAACGACTGCTTTGTCATTTGTAGACATATGAGTCATCAAGTCAAATTGTCCAGTAGAAATAATAAACAATGCTATCAAAGATTCACGTCTTTCTATTATATCTTAAGACCCAATATCAAACTGTTATACTTCAAGTTTATTCAAATAGTGATGTTTTGTTTCCAGAAAAACACTTTGTCGTCTCGAGCCCTGGTTAACTCGAACATTTTTCAAGATCCCAACAGGTTCGACACAACGAGGTTCCACTGTTTAGTACACTTTTCCTTATACACGTGTATGGTTGATTTATAATCAGTAGAGTTGTGGAAAGTCTTTGCAGAAGTTGCAAAGTATTTTTAAGAAATTAAATGTCTTCGCCAAATCAACAAAACCGCGATGCATCCATGTGTAATGATGAATATTTCAGTTTTTGTTTTTGGTTCAAGGTCAATGTAACAATACTTTTGACGCTTTTGGTAACTCTATGAATGTCATGTAAAGTTATATAAACCGCAGTGTATGAGTAAATTTTAAAATTATTTCATCTAAGATATGCGTTTATATGTCTGATTGCCATTAGTGTTCCAGTGGTATCTAACAGTGATATCAAAGTTGAGTGTATGATACATATTGCAATGTAATTTACAATAACAATGATATGAGCGTCAAATTGAGGCGATTGTTTTAGTATCATCTAAAACTGGCATACAATTTGTCGAAATACATTCAGTGTCCTGTCAGAAAGGAAGACAATTGTTTGATAGTCAACTCCTGAATGACGATTGACAATATTTTATTTGGTAGTTGTTAAGTGAAATGTAACAATGACATTCACGATGTAACAGTGTCAGTGTCGTGTAACAGTGGTAAACGAGATCCAATTACAAATTGACATTAGATAATACTTTTCGAGACTATAAATAACTGTAAGGGGCATTTAGTATAGTGTTTAATATCATGAAAATATCTTAGTACTCGATTCTGAAGTTCCAAAATTGTTTCTTGTGTAATATCAATTTCTCTTGACAACATCGTCTGTGCAAATTTTCAGGGTAGAATGAGTGAAGATATACCTTAAATAAATCAATTTAATTTTAGCGTGTATTATGTGCTAATATTTCAGGCTATATTTCATAGCAAAAGTATATTTTAGATACACCAATTTCGTTTTACAGTATTTCTTGTGCATATGCTTCGCGGGAGGCCATTGCAGTGGAAATACTAAAATATGTCAGTTATTATGATATAATAATAAACATTTGCTTGATAACTGCTTGTTCATAATATGAATGAGATAAATAGATTTACAGCACCTGTCTTTTGGCATGTTGCAAACAAAAAAACCTATTTCGTCCTTCTGAGAAGGCTATTACAAGCCCTAGAGACATTTTAGCTGATATTTGTTATGATTACGACAAGAACTGATGACAAATTACTTCACTAGAAGGGGCACATGTCAAATAAGTAATGATTGATGTATTGTCACTGTTTCTGAAACTGTCGACATATACAATCTTTAAAAAGTCAGTACGACGTAGCGTCACATAGTTCTTAAATAATCAATAAAATAAACCTCCATACTAACTCCTATTATTCCATTCCACTTTGACAATGTTCTGAGAGAATTGCGAAATAATAACCCATGAAACAAAAACTATATTAAGAAAACAAAGGTACAAAAATATCAACTCTTTGCCAAATGCCACTTCCCTGTTTAACATACTTGAGTCATAAATCTGCCAACAGAGAATGTCTCTGAAGAAATGGCACCTTTAAGCTATTTGAACAAACATACTCGTAATCCTATTTGTTTGTTGATACTGGTGTACTGGTTGATACTGGCGTACTGGTTGATACTGGTGTTACGAAACCAGATTTGATGATGCGAAAGCCACAAATGTGTTTTTTAGCCCGAGGGGCCATGACAACGTGCTTAGCAGCTTCCGTATCAAAATAGCAATGACACTCGCCTAACTGCCAAAGTGTTTCTGATCTCATTATGAAGGAGAATACAACAACTTTCTTGTAAATAAGAGTAATCAGTTTATGATGTAAGATTCACTCGAAACATTTGATAAAATATGTTTTTATATCTGACATGAATAAATTATCTCCAAGTTGAAACCCGTGAAGGTCCGGGTTAGAATATTGATCTTCAGTAACCCATGCTTGTCGTAAGAGGCGACTAACGGGGTCGGGTGGTCAGGCTCGCTGACTTGGTTGACACATTTCATCGGTTCCCAATTGCGCAGATCGATGCTCATGCTGTTGATCACTGGATTGTCTGGTCCAGACTCGATTATTTACAGACCGCCGCCATATAGCTGGAATATTGCTGAGTGCGACGTAAAACTAAACTTATTCACTCACTCACTCCAAGTTGAATGATTATATTTCTAGAAGATGATGAGTTATGTGATTCAGTCCATGGTAAAATGAATTCTTTCGTGTGTTTTCTCAGAAATGGGACCGACAATTAGAACTTTGTCTTAGCTGACATGGATGAAAACACGTGTGCAGTCAAGCTAGATAGGGAAGTGACTGTCACAATTAATTAAATATTTTCCGGCTACATGTACACCATTTAAAACTATCAAGGGTCGAGTTACGTGACTTATTCCAGTTCATGGGTGCTTTAGAGGATGGCTTTTAACACAAACCCTGACAAAGCCAGTTCAGTCATTCAGTTTCATCCGAGAAACGTCTTCGTTTATACAAAAAAGAAATTGATTCAAACAATGAATTAATTAGATACAAAACGTAAACGCTGCTAAAAGTAGAGTTGGACGTTTGCGACTATATCATGTCCGTGTTTTTATGATTCACTATCAAACAGTGATGACTGCAGGTTTTTACAAAAAGGTAAGCGCATCTTGCCCCGACGGTGGTACCCTCACTAATACATACAGAGACAAGTAGGGAATAGGGTGTCCTCCCATTTGTTAGACCAGACCAATAGGGTGTCCTCCCATTTGTGAGAACTCCCAGTTGTGAGACACATTAATTAATGGTTCAGTGCACATAGGTGGTGTTTCCACATCCCTACAATGAAAGTGGGATCAGCCCAGTTGTTGAAGAGTACCCACAGGAGGAAAGTCATTTTGATTGAAACATATTTTATTATTATTTATGAAAATGAATTGGGATTGGTGAACAAGCATTACTGCTTATGTGAACACC